CTCAAACTCTATAATGATTTGCTATGTTGGAATCTCTCCTGTAGCTTGATTTTATATTAAGTGTGTACAATTGTGGTTTATGTTTCTCTCATTTAAAGTCAGAGTCACTTGACATGTTTTACCAATCATAGAAAAATTTTAAAAATTATAATATTCCTCTTAATTTGATTTATTTTTAGTAACAAATGCTAAATTCGAATAGTGCTTTGAGGTTGACAATAAGCTTTCCCTTCTATCTTCATTTAATAAATTCCCTAATCCAATAGTAAGGGTGTGTTAACCAATGGAAGGAAATTAGAAAGAAAGAATGGCAAACATTTACTGAGTACTGTATTAAAGATTAGACACACTATTAGTTTCTTTATGTATTGCATAAATTCATTGCTAATGATAAAAAATGTTCCTAAATAATAATGAATATAATGTTCAATCAACTTTGTTCTTTTCCTGATTCCCTCGGTGGTGGATGGCACCATTTACCAGATGTCCGAGTAGGGTCAAGATGAGAATATTCAATCTATGCTTATCACGTCAATGTGAGAGCAAAAATAATCCGTCTAAAACGCTACCTGGACACAGATAATGAAAGTTTTCTGATAAAAAAGCTAAGTGTTCAAGGGTTAAAATTCTAGGGCTCAAAGCTGACTATCTACCGGCTTCAACATGGCATTCAGCAAAGGCGAGCAATATCTATTCATTCACACTTCCTTCTAAATAAAAAGTTCAAATTAGCCCCAGTTGTTTATTCAGAATGAGTTGTATAAGTATAATATAGAAAAATATGAATTAAGCTTATTCTATTTGTTATTAATATAAATATATTAACTTTTAAGTATATGGACTAACTAAACAGTGACATGGAACAGAGCTCAGCCATAAGGAAAAAACAACAACAACTAATACACTAAAAGGTTCATTAATGGAAACTTCTGGATAAGTTAAGGAAACATATAACTTTGCTAACTGATTTAATTGTTGAAATAACTGAATGCCACTTATTTACTTTTCTTGTGTTTAGAATAACATGTTCGAAATAAAATGAAAAGCTTCAAATGATCTCCCTTATGCTTTCCCATAAGAGCGGCTACTTGAGCTGTAATATAGTTTGGAGCCAGAAGAAAGCTTAGATTATAAACCTGAACAACAAACAAGAGGCCATAACCCGCATGTCCAAAGTTAGCGAATACTGCAGTGAGAGGCTTGTGTCCTTTCATGGGTGACCACTGTGCAATGTGGCCGACATACTTTCCCAATGCAGCACAGTGAGCGGATGGCCAAATATTTTGTTAAGAATTAGTGCAGCCCAAGGTAAAGATAGTGTATGTATTATTTGATCAGCCACTGTTAACAGAATATTTTTATATTTAAAAGTCGAATTAGTCACTCTAACAAATGTGTGTGTGTGTGTGTGTGTGTGTGTGTGTGTGTGTTTGGCAGGCACATATTAGCACAAGAGCAGAATTCAAAATGTAAGCATTTTTATTAAAATAATTCTTTATGCATTTTTTTCAAAACACATTTTCTATTTGTGTAGGTTCTAATATTTTAATAAGATTTATACAGAGAAAACAAATAGACAGCACTTGATTGGAAAATCATTCTGGAATTAACTTGCTTGAATCTGTAACCAGGTACTATATTAGAGAATACACTGCAAGGGTTGCAGTCAAGCTTATGGGATTGTGGAGAGCACAGCCCCCGCTGACTGAAGAGATGGGCTTGGCTGTAGCCACAGAGATCCATCCAACAGCACGTGTGTCTGTATACAGAACAGCACATGAAAAGATTCTCCTTCCAAGCTTAAACACAAGCTTAGCTATGTCCTTCTTAAAAAAAAAGTAATAAATAAATACAAATAAATCACTTTTTTGTATTTACTCTTTTAAGGAACTTCATTAAAATATGTTCACTGCTCCCCTTTCTGAAAAAATAGTGATGAATCACTTAAGATGAAACAACTCAACTTTGGCAGGCACCGTTTTAATCCTGGTTGAAGTAACAAGCAGTAAGTTCATGGTTGTCATCAATCTATTTTAATTTCAACAAGAGATCTTAGTAAGGTGACATGCATCGGTGCCTTGTATTTTCTAAGTAAACACAACATTTTCAGCATGGAAAGAATTTTCTTTTCATTTTTTGGTGAGTGCGGTTTTTGTGGCACACAAAATACCCTGACAAATTCGGTTAGATTGCAGATGATAATGTGTATTATATACCTTATGTATTGATCCTGTGTGTCCACATGATTTTATATTCAAAAGGAGGAAAGTTCCCATCCAGTGGACATCAACAGAAGTTACAGCCTATGGCAAATTCACATGATTAATAATTTAGTTCTGGGCAAAGGAAAGGAAATAGCAAGGTGTTGCTAGCAGACTTAAGACAGTTAGCTGGGATTTTAAAATAGTATCTTTGCTTTTGGATTATGAATATAGCTTTGTTTGACTTACATTAATTCCCAGAATTCTTTAAGAGAGATAAAGTGTGTCCAATGGTTCTCTTTGGCATCTTGAATAGATTGTGCTAATTGCCACATGTATAATTCTGTTTTCATCAAACTTCAGAGCTATTATTTGAAATCTTGCCTCTTAAAAACCCAAACTTCATCTAGGCAGATGCAAATATGTTAATTTGGGGTGGGGGTTAAATATTATTTTTAAGTTTGAATGCATTGACAGAGAAAATGGCAATATTAGCTTGACACTAGACCCTCTGAATTTAAGTATGAAAAAAGACCTTTCAAATTTTTGCTGAAAAAATTACACACTGTAAAGAGTGAAGGAGTGAATGTGAGTGTGTGAGAAAGTAAAGAAAGGGGAAACTCCTAAGACAACATGCCATCTCATCTACATGACTGCAAACATTTTCTATTGTTTTTATGGTTCTACATCATCATAGTGCATGCTGAGCACTGTAGAATCTCCCACTAACTCCCAAGGCTTTCTTAAATTGGCTCCCATCTCTCCGATTGATTTATTTTTCTTCACCAATATAAGTCATCAACTACCCTTAGACTAGAGGCATCATAAGAAGACTGTGTGCAGGCCCCTTCTCTGTGCTCCCTTATCTACAGTTTCATGCAGTTTTCAAAGCCCTACCTCTCTCAAAGCTCTTCTGGCAGTACCCTCTCTGCACAGCTCACTTGAGTGAAAATGTCAAGAAGGGTCAAGTTTTCTAAGGTCCTTAAAACTATGTATACCTTTCTCCTCTACTGGATAAAACTCAGTGTACCTCTGAGTAAGTTCTGATTTAACCCTTTTCTCATCCTCTCTCATTATATTTCTCCACATAATCTGTTGTATTTTTACACCAGAAACTGTTCTTCCAGAACATATATTTTCTTCCTCTGTGCTTTGATGTCTGCCATTTCCAGCAGAGTGTGGGAGTAGTAAGCTAATGTTTCTTGAAGCTTTACCAGGGACTTTGCTAAAGATTTTACTGAAACTGTCATTTAGCCCAACAACAAAGCTATGCATCGGTACTCTTACTTTTCCAGGTAACAGATGAGGAAACTTGGGCTTATTGAGGTTAAATAATGCACCTCCTGTTTCCCATCTGTTTCTCAAAAGCAATGCATTGTCCCCTTGAGTGTTACTTCAGAACCAGCGAAGTGCTATGAGGTGCAATGTCAGTGGAGCACATTTTGCTGAATACAGCTTCATATTTTGATTCTGTAAATTCTTTGGAACATCCATTATTTTTTATTGTTGAATCAACAACTTGATACATCTTTTAAAGCTCCATTTATGCATGACCTCCCTCCTCAGTCTCTCTAGTGATAATTGGGGCTCCCGGCTCAGGAGCGCATCCTCCCTACCCCCTTTTTGCTTAAAGTGGGTTTCATGACCAGCATGGTCAGCGTCCCCTGGAGCCTCTTAGGAACGCAGGCCCTGC